AAGATGAAAGAAACGTAAACACGAAAACTATAGATTGTTGGGTTCAATCTTTGCGGAAATATGAATCAACTCGGTCTATATTACGATAATGATTTTATGTTCTTTTAAACATAAAACTTTAGAGTTAAATTATGTTTTTTTTATGAAGCTAATGATTTTTTTATTATTTAATTGATATATTGACTAAATATAGTTTAAATGGCTGTCTTTTTGTTTTTAAAGCAACATTTAAGTCAGAAACAATAGCGTCATTTTGTTTCTAAACATGGGGCAAGATACTTGATACAGTTGGTGGTAAGTAAATAGGAAAGAATTCTTGTTTTGTGGGGATGGATACATCAAAAAAATGGACAAAATAGTTACATTGAGCATCAGATCTCCATTAAATCGAACACTAAATCTAAAATTTTAAAATCTTACATCTAGCGAAAAAATATATAAAAACATTTTTATTGTGGTAAGAAAATCAAAAGAGAAATCCTTTTTTATCAGAAATAGCATACTTTGATATCTAAAAATTAAAAATCTAATAGTATTTGTTGTCATTTGTCGTGTTGCAATTTTCAATCCCTCAAAATTTTTCACACCTCGAACTCCAAATGAACCAAGAAGAAACTGGGGTTTGAGTTTTTTCACCTGCAAAACACCGTAAATTTGTCATCATTATTTGTAAAGTAGAAATGTTGAATTTCACCAAAGTAACACCAGATGCAAAATGGTCAAAAATTAAACTTGATAGGAGAAAGTCATTTGTTGAATAAAAAACTATTATTTATGTGAGGGAATGACTATTTCACTCTTTTGTTTAGAGTAAATGACCGTTTTAGCCTTATGATTAAAGTTGTTCCTTTGTATCTTAAACTAATAGTCAACTCATTTGCTAAAATGTGACGATATAATATGTGTAAACACAATGTAGAGTTTTGTGTTTTTACTCTTATTTTATACATCAGTCTTGAAAGGTTGTTGAATAAAGCTTTAACTTCTTGTTTTTAAAAATCTACATGTTACATATTGCGTCTACCATTAAGTCCTTCAGCTAGTGGAAGCCTATTAGTCATCCGCGTAATCATTGTCATGTTCACCATCTTATCCCCTTAGAGAAGCTGTCACTTGGAATAAACATAATATTTGAACATTTAATCTACCAATATAACCATTATTTTCTCCCCAAGATATAAATGGTACTACCAAAATTTGTTTTATAAAATACGGAAACAATTTAGTTTTTTTTTTTTTTTTTACGTAAATCTTGACCTAAAGTTGTTGTGCGTATTGGTTTTAGGAGAATCTAGATATAAAAGGCATAAGAATATACGAAAAAAACAACTATTAAATCATAGTGAAAATAAGAAATGATTTGACAAAAAAATAAAAGAGAAATTGAATTGAAACAAAAACAAATTCAAGAGTAAGGACCTAAGAATGACGACTTCAAGAAATTAAAGTAAACAAAAAGGCTTATTGGAAATTAGATATGGTCAAAAAATTCTTTAAAGTAGAGGAAGCATGGTAAAGAAGGCATGTTAACTGCTCTAGACCAAATTCCATGGGGAACTAACTGGATCATCAAAAAAAAACATTCAGAAACATTATTGAAGCAATTTATCTAGCAGTTGGTGTGTATTATGAAAGTTTCTTTCAAATCTCAACATCAAGACGAAAAATTGTTGATGGCATGATTGTTTGCCTTGTTGGTGTTCTTCACTTCTTCGCAGAACATAGGTCACGTGAGTAAATTTCCCAAATATTGGAGACATGAACACAAAATCAGTAGCTTGTAATACAACTTACTATGTGTATCACTTACCTATGTACATTTGTAAACATGATTGACATAAATAAAGGCACCAAATTAAAGGGAAAAAACAGAAATAGGGAGACTATACTAACCAACTTGTGTGCTTAAATCATCGAGGTCTCTAAATTCCATAAATTGAAAACAACCCCAGAATCAAATTTGGTGAACAAACAAATGGAAAATTAATTCACAGAAGAAAAAAGCAGTTGCTTTCATTTATAGCCATATGATAATACATGACCTCGTTTAACCTCTTAGGTAAAGAGAGTTGAGAAGGCAGTACATAATAACAAAAAAACTTTAACGATAATTATGTAAATGCATACTTTGATAAGATGAAGAAGCAGGTTACAATTTCTTGAGAGATTATGGATGATCATTTTCATACAAATGGAGGGTTTAAATGGATGATCAATCGGAGTTGAAGAGACATCGATGCATGCCATTCTCACATCAATTCTGATTACCTGCAGTCTACACACGACGTGCAAGTTGAACGATGGCGATTATAATGATTAATGATAATAGTGTTATACATTAATATAATCTTCACATAAAAATAATATTAAATTAGTATAAAATTCATACATGAATTGTTTTTATTATTACCACAGAAAAAATAAATTAGTATATAAATTAAATAGAAATATATAAATTCATATTTTGGGACCACAATGTCAGGTAGGAGTGTTGGTACGGGTTTAGGACCACGATGGGTTCATAATAAGTGTATGGGTTGCTTTTGGTGGGTTGGTGGTACGGGTCGACCATCACAATGTAAGGTAGGGGTGTTGGTACAGGTTTAGGACCATGATTGGTTCATAATAGGAGTATGGGCTACTTTTGGTGGGTTGGTGGTACGGGTCGACCATTACAATGTCAGGTAGGGGTGTTGGTACGAGTTTAGGACCACGATGGGTTCATAATAGGTGTATGGGTTGCTTTTGGTGGGTTGGTGGTACTGTTCGACCATTACAATGTCAGGTAGGGGTGTTGGTACGGGTTTAGGACGACAATGGGTTCATAATAGGTGTATGGGTTGCTTTTGTTGGGTTGGTGGTACGGTTCGACCATTACAATGTCAGGTTGGGGTATTGTTATGGGTTTAGGACCACGATGGGTTCATAATAGGTGTGTGGCTTGCTTTTGGTGGGTTGGTGGTACGGTTCTACCATCATAATGTAAGGTAGGGGTGTTGGTACATGTTTAGGACCATGATTGGTTCATAATAGGAGTATGGGTTACTTTTGGTGGGTTGGTGGTATGGGTCGACCATTACAATGTCAGGTAGGGGTGTTGGTACGAGTTTAGGACCACGATGGGTTCATAATAGGTGTATGGGTTGCTTTTGGTGGGTTGGTGGTACTGTTCGACCATTACAATGTCAGGTAGGGGTGTTGGTACGGGTTTAGGATGACAATCGGTTCATAATAGGTGTATGGGTTGCTTTTGGTGGGTTGGTGGTACGGGTCGACCATTACAATGTCAGGTTGGGGTATTGGTGTGGGTTTAGGACCACGATGGGTTCATAATAGGTGTGTGGCTTGCTTTTGGTGGGTTGGTGGTATGGGTCGACCATTACAATGTCAGGTAGGGGTGTTGGTACGGGTTTAGGACCACAATGGGTTCATAATAGTTACATGGGTTTCTTTTTGTGGGTTAGTGGTACGGGTCGACCATTACAATGTCAGTTAGGGGTGTTGGTACGGTTTTAGGACCACGATGGGTTCATAATAGGTGTATGGGTTACTTTTGGTGGGTTGGTGATACGGGTCGACCATTACAATGTCAGGTAGGGGTGTTGGTACGGGTTTAGGACCACGATGGGTTCATAATAGGTGTATGGGTTGCTTTTGCTGGGTTGGTGGTACGGGCCGACCATTACAATGTCAGGTATGGGTGTTGTTACTTGTTTCGAACCACGATGGGTTCATAATAGGTGTATGGGTTGCTTTTGGTGTGTTGGTGGTACGGTTCGGCCATTACAATGTCAGGTAAGGGTCTTGGTACGGGTTTAGGACCACGATGGGTTCGTAATAGGTGTATGGGTTGCTTTTGGTGGGTTGGTGGTATGGGTCGACCATTACAATGTCAGTTAAGGGTGTTGGTATGGGGTTAGGACCACAATGGGTTCATAATAGGTGTATGGGTTGCTTTTGGTGGGTTGGTGGTACGGGTCGACCATTACAATGTCAGGTAGGAGTGTTGGTACGAGATTAGGACCACGATGGGTTTATAATAGGTGTATGGGTTGTTTTTGGTGGGTTGGTGGTACGGGTCGACCATTACAATGTTAGGTAGGGGTGTTGGTACATGTTTAGGACCAAAATGGGTTGGTAGTACAGGTTGATCAATGGTATATATATTTAGGGCATATAAATTATTAATAAAAATTAGTAAGCTAGCTAGACCTTATTCTTATTTTTGTTTAATTATACTATTTTCCCATTGTATATAAATAATTAAATGTTAAATATTTTTTATTTCCAATAGTCATATAATTGTATCATAACGTAGAATTGTTAACTTAGAAGGACCAAATTTGTAATATTTCTATTAATTTCTAATAACTCGTAATTATGTTTCAAAAGCCAGAACATGTTTCCAAACCACGATTTATGCTTCTCATGGTGTAGGTTCAATATCAGATCAAAAGTTGGAAAACATTTGAATTCGTCAATCAAAATTAAGCAACTATAATGGGAGGCAAACAATTTTTCCATTTTGTTTTAGGCTCCAAATCCAGGTGGTAATTCTTTATCTATCTCACCGCCAAAACTATGAAGATCAATCCATCAGATCAAGGAAATTACGGTAAATTTGGTAATGACCACCAATTTAGGACGTACTAATAGTGTAATATTTAAAAGACTTTGATTTTTTCAACGATCGTATGGTTTTTCTCTAGGTTATATCCAAGTTGGATTATAATTCAATTCCTCATTCGACAACATTCATCACGCATTCTACTATAAGTATGTTGTTTGTTTATGTTGTCAATGTTACTGATTGTATTGATTAGGGGATTCTACTTAAAACACAATATTTTGATTCTTCATATTATTGTGCTTGTTGCACACCAACTCTTCGATGAAATGTGTTTGTGAAAACTTGTCTGCAATATAAGTTACTCATACCTTTTCATTAAACTTATAAATTATCAAACTTATTTACTATGTTTCATGTCAACAAAAGAATCATGGAGGTGAACAAGGAACAACATGAGGATATACCCGACTATGATACAAAATACGAGCAAGATGATGGGAACCAAGTATATGATTCGGACATAGAAAATGGTGAAAATAAGGAAATTGACTACAATAGTCGTTCAGATTCGGAAGTAAAAATCCAAAACACAGTTCCTAATAGGTAAAATAGGAAGAGGGGCATGACTCGATTGCCAAAGCTGAAGACTGAGTATGTCAATTCTGGTGGTAGAAAAAAAACGTGTCAAGTTTGATGAATTCGGTAAATTTATAGGGAAGAATAATGTTGTGTTTGTCAGTTATCTGGGTGATCTTGTCCGCGAGAAGGTGGGATTAAGTGCTCTTTGCTGGAAGAAAGTAAAACCGAAAGTGAAGGAGAAACTATGGGAAGAGATTACAGTAAATATTTTCTTCACTTTTTGTAACTGCATATCATATTATATTTAAAAATCATGAATTAAATACTAACATAATCATTGTTGCTTCATTTTAGCGCTAATTTGAAGTTCATGAAAATGGAAAACAATTTGTGATGAATAGGATTGGTATCCTTCTACGGAACTTCAGACGGAAATTGTATGCAGATTACATCAAACCACATCTAGGAAATCCCAGAAAGCATGAAAAAATCCCCGTTCATTATCGTGCACTAATTACTGAAAAAGATGATTGGAACAAATTCGTGACATATACGCAATCTCAAGAGTTTAATGTTAAATTTGTTTTCCAAATCTTCTTCATTTATTTATCATAAACTTACCAAAAGTGCTTGACAATTTTTTTTTGACAGAATGTGTCACAAAGGACTATCAAAGCGCGAAACATGTCAAAGTATGTTCATCGGATGGGATGGGGGGGGGTATACTACTCTTAAGCGGAAGTTGGTAAGCTTGGTCTTTATATTGTTTACAATTTAATTTTTTTCTATCAAGATTGAAGAGAAAGTTCAAAAGAGGAAATGCCCCCAAGGCCATTTATGTGGTGTAAAGGACGTGAAAGTAAAGGAGAATTTAAGTATGAAGATGCTAAAATCATGGCGGATAAACTGGTAACTTCACTAACCTTTTCTATTTGTTTTACTGTAAAGATTTCAATCACTTTTATTAGGACAATAATTATACTATTTTGTGTGGTAGATGGAACATGAGAAATAGATAAAAGAAGGACAAGTGAATGTTGAACCAGACACGGATGCCATGACCTTAGTTTTTGGCAAGGAAAAAGGCGGATTTTTAAAGGGTGTCGGCACGGGAGTCACTTACAACAGATATTTCAATGTTCCTCGCAACAAAGGATCATCTAAGGAAGAAATTAAAGATCTTAAAGTTGCACTGCATAATGGAAAACGTGAGCTCGAGAAAAAAGATGTTGAACACAAGGCTTTTTCTACAAAGGTTAATGAACAAGATCAAAAACTAAAGCTAGTTTTGGTTCATCTTAATGCAAAAGGAGATGAGCTTCCAAATCTGTCTCATACAATTGTAAGTAATCTTATTAACAACATCTATTGTCAATGTTAATTGTAAATTGCATTTCTTTTACATATTTTCCCTATTATCTTTATATTTTCTAGGGTATTTCAAGTGACAAGATTGTTGAAAGTAGTGAAACGACTCCTGTTAGTCTCAAAACCAAGGAACCATCAAAACCTATAACACTAGTATGTTATCATCATATATGATCATCATTGATATACTTTTTTTGGCACTAGTTTATGTTTTTTCTCTGGGACTTTAACATATTTAGGTAATTGAAAAACCCACCAAGAAACCAGTTCAAACCAAATCTGCAACTGAAACTCTTGATACACAAATGATTTCCATGAAATCTGCAACAGTAGTATATACTAAGTTTATAGTTTTCAATACTATTAATTTATCTTTTATATTAAAACAAAATTCTAAGTATATATCTTAAATCTTTATATTAGGAAAATACAAAACCCACCAGAAAAGTTGTTGAGTGTAAGCCTGCCACTATCAATCCTGACATACCAACAGTTTCACCAAATAAACAACTTCACCAGGTCAGTGTTTTTTACAAGTTGAATATACATTTTTGTCTTTTTTTCCTGATTCTAATATTACTTATCATTGTAGCCAATAAAGTGTACTCTATCACACCCGTATAAAAGGAACATCATTGCTCGTGGTACCATTCACTTATCATCAGAAAGACAATTCATTCATGGAGTTCCTTTACAAGATGATTGCTATAAAGTTTCCATTGATGAAGTGGTAATAAAACATGCATTTCTACCCCCATAAAACTGGACAATTCACATTAGTTGAGGATGCATATCAAAGTTTTGTTCCATGGCCAAAATACCTTGTGCAAACCGAGTCAAAGGTTTGTTTAATTATATTCACTACTTTGTGCATTACACTTTATTTTCTTCATAAAGTTGTATACTAAGTGCTTGATGAATTCATTTTTTTTCAATGTTGTTGGTATAGGTACCATATATTATATCACATCAAGAACATCAACTTCAAAACTGAAATAAAAGGAAACCAACTTACATATCATCTGATACCCTTCTCCAGAAGACATGGAGCAATACAAATAAGAAGAATGCATAGTTATGTTTAGGTTTTGTTTTATGATGTGTTTGAATTCTTGCAATTAGGACAATTTTTTTGGTATTTTAATTAGGAATTTAATGTATGGATTTGGATTTCATTTATTACTATAATATCAAATTTTGAATTTAGCTTTTGTTTCATATTGTTGGGTTTGGTTACTTTAATGTAACTTATGTTAATGTGTCTACAATGTAGAAAAGGTAAGAATAAAAATTAAATTTAAGTGGCTTTAGTATAAATTTGGCCATGTTTTATAGGTTTACAATGTCTCTAAAATTATACAATGGTTACTTTACATCAATTTTTAATGTGTGGCTAAATGGTTAACAATAGCCATAATAAACAAGAATTATGAGCCTACAATTGTTTTAAAATGATGTTTATTCTATTGTTTATGTCAATAAGTTAAACAATAACAACATGAAAAACAATTTATGTGGCAAATAAATACCATAATTGATTTTTGTGACTAAATACTAGCAAATTGTCACTTACAAAACTAATTACATGTGTCCATTTACCAAACATGGTCATGTTCACCGTAATTATATGTATCTAAAATATACCCAATAGTCTTAATAAGATACCAAATAGTCCTTAATTTTAACAAAATATGTGTCTATATAATACTTATGATTGTATTTCACTTAATTTTGTATTTCTATACGATAGGCTATAATCACAAAAATTGATTGTTTTCTGTGACTAATTATTAGCAAATAGCCACATATGAAATTAATTAAATGTGGCCATTTAGCGAACATGGTCATGCTCACCGTAATTACATGTTTATAAAATATACACAATAGTCTTAATAAAATTTTAAATGTGTGACAATATAACAGAAAAAACTACACTAAAACATCATGAATGTCGCAAATTGGTGATATACAGTCACAACAATTACTAAATAAATGTGTCGAATGACGGTTTAACGACACAATATTGGATATTTAAGGAAAAGAAATTCCGTACACATTTGCCACACTTTTATAATACGGCCACATGTTTTCATATCATACGGACACTACATATTAAAGTGACCATAACACCCATATGATGGCGTCACCTTCCGTGACACTTTCATTGAAAAAAAATAAAATGTCATTATACACATATGGTCACACTTTTTTGGTGTGACTGTAAGTCATTTTTCTTATAGTGCTAACAACAACTTGATGCAAATATTAATTATAAGAAATTTGTGACAACCCAAAATTTCTATTCTGTACAACCCTTCACTTCAATAGAAGTCAAAACAGTTTCTTCTAATTTTCAAGCTTTTTGGAATAAGTTTGAGTATTTTAGGATTAGCACTTTAGGAGATATTAGGAGAGAGGATGCCCTACGGTTTAGTGTGCATCAATAAAGTTCCAAAAACTCCAAGAGTTTGGAGTTTACGACCCAAATGTCTTTTGGACCGTAAACCCTAATAACTATATATATGGCACTTAGCCATTTTTCACACTTTTTCACTTTTCAAGAGCAAAACTCAAATCCTCTCATGTAGCATCCGAATTTTCCTTCTTGATCTTCAACTTGTAAGTGTTCCTAGCCCTAATAAGTTGATATCTACCTTAATCTAGTGATCTAACACACTTCCATCCCTGAAATCATTCCAAAAGTGTAGATCTTCAAGTTTCACCAAGAACACACACTAGTGTTCTTGGACTTTTAGCACCTTTTCAAGCTTCTATCTTGTAAGTACTTCTATCCTAGAGTATCTTAAGGCTTGTTACACTTCCATATATCAAGAAATCACACAAGAAACACCAAGATCAAGGTTTTTACGGTCCAAGATGTTCTTGGACCGTAAACCCTAAAAAGGGTGCCAAAGTGTGCTCTAGTCCCTGCTAAGCCTTGGAAACTTGCTTAGATCCCTTCCTTGTTGAGTTAAGGGATTGAAAACATCAAAAGACCATAAACCATATGGGTTTAAGGTTGTAAACCTAAAGGAATATGGTATAAGTGTTGGATTAATGTCTAAGTCCATAACTATAATTGGTAAGACTTGACCCGACCCGACATGGTCCATTTAGGTTGCATACCATCATGCACTTGGATAGACTAAATGAGAGAAATAAGACACTTATGGTTATTAATATATTATAAGTTCTAGTATATTAATAATAAGAATAATGAGATTATTTAATTAGTATTGATCAAGAATTAATCTAGCATTAATTGAGTGATCAAAAGAAGACTAATTAAATATGTGGGTTGATTGTGTAAATCATCCATACTTGTATAGTGGGCTAATGCTCCATGGATTATCTAGTTGGGCCAAAACCCATATGATGCTCCATGGATGCTCCATGGTGTATTTGAACCCATGGATCCAAGGAAATGGAAAGTCATGACAATTAGGGTTTACCCTAATTGTATAACTATATAAGCATCTTATTCTTGAGGAAAATCGGCCACTAGTGAGAGTAAGAAAGGGCTAGCCGATTTCATGAAGTGTAGAATTCTCTCTAAGTTATTCTAAGTGTTTTGATGATTGTGAACCATTTGAGGTGTCACACTTGGGGCACTAGGCACTCAAGCTTCATGAAGACAAGCTCCATCAAAGAGGTATGTATTCTATCTTGTTATATTGATAGTTTTGTATGCTAGATTAGGATAATACCTTGGATATTCATATTTGCATGTATAATAGAGAAAACATAGATCCAAGGTATTTAGGGTTGCATGTACACTTAGGAGTGTTAGAATGCTCATAACCCAACAGTGGTATCAGAGCCTAGGCTTGTTTTCTTGTTATACTTGCAATAGAAGCTGAAAAATCGAAATTGATGCTGTCAGCCCAGCAGACTCGCCGAGTCCATGAAGGGACTCGACGAGTCCAAGGCAAAATGCATCCAACTCGCCGAGTTGTGTTCATGCACTCGACGAGTTGGACCCCAGACAGCATATTTCGAGGTTTTTGGCTAGAAATGGACTAGGAACATTACCCTAAGTTGTTTTTGAACTTATAAACTTGTTTTTAATGTGGTAATGTTCATGCTAATCCATTTTCAAAGATAATTGTCAATAGATTCATGTTTTGTATTAGTTTAAAGGTTAGACTAATTACATGAAAAAGTTTGATTTGAATTATCTTGTTCTTATGAGTTGCTTAGATTAATAGAAAAGTTAATTGAAATAGTTGTTTTCAATCCATTTTAATCTAAGAGTTGAGTATAAAATGTGTTTGTGTAACTTATCCTCAAGTTACATGAAGAGTCACATTAAAGACTCATAAAACTCATAAAATTGGCAAAGGTTACAAAAATGAAGAGTCTAGTTCTAATTAATTGGAGTTATGACTCCATAATTTGTCCTCAAGTTATGGAGGACCAAGAGTCTCTTCATTAAATAAATATAAAAAAATAATGTAACCTTAATTAATTCCATAAGTTATAAAATAAAGAAAAGTTAATTCTTTATTAGTTTAAAGTCTTCCATAATTTGTCCTCAAGTTATGGAACTTGAAGAGTTTTTGGATTAAAACTACTTTAAACACATAAGTTATGGAATTAATTAGTTTTGAATAGTTTCAAAACTTGCCCTCAAGTTTTGGAATTTGTAAAGTTTTCTCTTATGAATACTTTAATTCCAAGTTAGCCCTTAGAATTTTAAAAGTTAAAATTCAACCCTTATACTTTATAATATTATAAGTTAATATATATATATATATATATATATATATATATATATATATATGTATAAGAGTAAAGTCGGTCTTACCGCTAGTACGCCTCATTCACGAAGCCGGTCTATAAGGTGGGTATAAGGTTGTTGCCTATAAAATGGCAACTTAATGGGTGTCCACTCTCACCCACCGCTTGCTTGACTGGTGGAGGGTCGTTAGCCGAACGGGTTTGACAGGACTATAATTCTCCCTTCATTAAAAGTATTAATGATAAATACTAAGTAACTAAACTCTTAAAATACCCAATCTTAGTTACTTAGGAAAATGTGAATAAGGTGCTAATCCATGAAATTACACTTTGCACTTTGTTTAAGTCGGTTAGTGGAGCGTGTGTGGTTAACCGGCACACTAACTCGTATTTAACAAGGTAGGCAAAGGGTAACTTAATGTTTATCATAGTATCGATGGAGCGTGTGTGGTTAACCGGCACATCGATTGAGGGGTAAACACTTAAGGGTACCAAGTAATTTGCATGGTTACTTCACACCTTGTTTTGTGATCCTCGGCATCCCAGTCACAAAACCTGAAGGGCACACTCGAGATTGAAACATGCCATTGAACAGTTCAATGAATCTCAAAAGATCTAGGAGTTTCAAAACCAATTAAAACCTAATAATACATTTCGTTTATCTTGGTGGAAATTGGTGAATCGTCATTCACCTACCTTCAAATTGTTTTATAGCTTGGATTACGGCATACCTCTTCTAAGTTATAAAATAGTTTGTTGGGTCCTAGCCTTAATATTTCATATTGGGTGTCATATTAAGGACTTTAAATCAACTATCTTGAATATCTCCCAAAACATGTCTGGTTTAGACATTTATGATCTTCCCAAATCTCTTGAAACAAGCTTTCCTAAATGAAGATGATGTCCCATGGAAATCATACTTCTTTCCCCTCCTCAAATTATTCTCCTAACCCACAAAGTTTAAGGTCACTCAAGCCCTATTGGCAATGCAAGGTCTAGGTGTGATCACATCTTGGAGAT